AAGAGAGGTTTACATTGTAGTTATCATTATTGATAATTCAAAAAGCAACATAGAAAATATATATGCTACCATGACGAAAGAATACAGAGTATACATAACTCGCAATTATCCAAAAGAGATTTCAAATCACAATAACATATCTGATATAAAGAGAGGTGGAAATGATTTAATCTCTACATTGGGCCCTTGTTCGTGAGCCCTTGTTCTATTCAGCAAACAGCCCCAAACCGAAACTCCACAACATATCCGATTACACTGATTCAGGCTGTCCCAGTTCTCCATGCGATACTGACGCCCGTTCGTCTCCCAGACCATAGAGAATAAATTTAAAAGGAATCCAGCTCAAGTCTAGAACGATTTGGCAAGCCTAGATTGCCTCAATTCTATCCATGAAAGTAAGCATTAATAAAAAAAATATTGTTCTTGTCTGCTTCAGATTATATTTTGTAGAGACATATTTTTAACTAGGAAAATTGTACTGACACCGGCGCTGTCCCTATTGAAGCTATTCATAAGAATTTCGAATTGTCGTCCATTGTTCGATGTCAATACATCGATGACAAGTGAGGATATCATAAAGTAATCGTTGATGCCGCGCTACACTATAATAAAAATTATAATCAAGTTGACTGGTGTGTACATTACTACAGTGAACATGTACATGGTCATGCCCTTATAATCAAATGCCGTAATGTCAAATACTAATATATTATTGTGTGATGAATTTAACTGGATCAGTGGTAACATGTGAAATTAATATTCCATCAATTTCTCTCCTGGTTGGTCCATCCATGTCTACAAAATGAACATAATACAATTAAAATGGAGCCTAGACCAATTCTTAATTTCAGGCTAGGGCTTTGGAAATCTAGACTTTCCCAATCGTTATAGATTTGAGTTGGTCTAATTTTTTACATTATTCTCTTGGGTCAACGCCACAGCTCATACCATACACTAACAAGACCAGAGTGCCCCCCGCCGGAGCTCCTGGATTTTGGTTATATCATCTAACATGGCCAACTCTGCTCTTAAGTAAACAAGAACCTAGTCAGCGAGGGGTCCTTTATCATCCCTATGTGACTGCTTATAAAAATCTGATATCTCTTCCCAAAGACCTGGTTAATAATATATTTTCTGCTGATTATTCGAAACAGAGTGAGTGCGTTGGTACTACATATGTTTACGGTTCTATTTTAAATGTCTGCAGCGCTCAATTTTGAAAACAAATTGTTTTAACGCCGCTCTCAGCAGTATTCCAGTGATATATGACGGCGGTCTGTTGTATATGAAATAAATGCAAATTGAATTTTGAATCTTGAAAGTTGTAACATTGCCGCTAATAAGTATCACATGCAGTATACAGTATATCAACTGCAATATACCGTATACAACATTCAGTATACAGTGTGTCGCGAGCTCTGCACTGGGGTGGAGCACACATTTCCTAACCCTCTCCCTTCGGCAAACACCTCATGAGGGTTGCAACGAGGTCACAGGTCAGGCGTGCACTCGTCAGTTGTCTAATGCGGTCAAGAGTAAGATCTTCCGGAAGACCACTGCACTAGAGGTATGTGGATTGGTGATGAGGTACTACGTGTTTGGAACTGGGAGTCGAACACTAAGCACTTTTACAGAAGAGCTCACAATAAAACGTTATGGACTCGCGGACGGACTTGTGTTTTCATTTCAAGACTTACATGTATCAGGTTGAACTTCTACGACAGATGTAACTTGGTTACCGCTTCCTAACTGTAGCATTAACTAAACTTTACGCCTTTTATACACATTTGTGATGGGGCGACAATGCGACAACGAGACATATTTTGACCTTGAAAATGTCGCGTTACGGCATCGACGCCCTTTTGTAAAATAAAGAAAAGGATTATTCAAAGAGCGACAATGCAAACACGCGACAATACGACAAATGGCCAATTGTCGCGCTTTTGTTAATTTTGACACGTCTTGGTTGTTTTTGTAAGGGCGTCAATGCGACAATGCGACAATGTCCCTTTCGTGATCCGTGCAAATAAAACTGAGTTATGAAATAGAAGTCTGACATGCCAATTAAGAGATAAAGTGTTGCAGCTTCTGATTTCATAGATCTTCAAGAAGGATTATCAATAATGGGATGGGTGATGAGTTCAACTGCATGCCGAGTCTATACGCTGTGATTAACAAATAATGCTCCGAGTCAATACATTTTGTCAAAATGTATGACATGTATTACGTGAATGAACATATTGTTTATACTCGTCCATGTTTTTGACGGACAATATAATTTACATGCTTTCCGTGCTTTGTTCAGGTGAACAATTGACTTGTCCTTGCATGTGTTTGTGACGGGTGCCACTTGTGTGGCAGGATACCCGTTGGATGGCCTGAACCAATTCGGATTTTAATCCCACATCAGTCTGTACACCGTGATATAACTGAAATACTGTACAGTTGAAAATGGTGTTTAATGTGATTACCGTAGTGTGTTACAGCAACTGTTCAAATGTTGTGCAGTGCTGTTATGTAAAATGTAAAAGAAAGCATATTCAATTATCCAATTGATTTGAATAGTGCGTCAGTGTATTTCATTAACGCCCCAAACCGTAATTTAAACACATATAATAACAGATCATATACACGCATGGTGCCTTGACTTACTGCTAACTTTAATAGGCCATCCCGGAATGAAATAGTCCCCCCCCCCCACCCCCCCCCCCCCCACCCCCCTCCCCCCACCATGTTTTAGTATGTTTACAAGAAATATATTTCAAACAATATCCTCTTTAGATGAGAATTACCTCAGTAAGTCAATTACAATGACAGAGCGTCGTAATACATTTACATCAAGTACAATACGTCAAAATGGCCGACACGATAAACGTGACGGGAGATATTTCCGAAGTTGTTAATTAACCTGTGGCTATTTCAAGCCTTTGTCATCACTGATCAATTTGCCGATCGTTGAAAGGTGATTGTAAAGATGTGTCAAATAGATACTAAGGTAAATTCATAGATTGCTGTAGATTGTCACTACGATATCGATAGTTTGGATGTTTTTTTTCGTTTGTTTTTTCTCTGGGATTGGTTGTAGCGAGGGTATCCTTAAACGGGCATGCAACCACGCTTCTGTATGAATTCGTACCAGGGAATTCCAAGGGTTTTCCCCAGGAATGTGGAAGTAGTCAGTGTTTACGCCATTTCAAGAATACAGTCACGTGAAGAACGTCATGTGACCGACCTCTCGTCCTAGCCGTATATCTTGTAAACTTCACATTAAAAAATGAGTTATTATTATAACCAAATGAAACACAACCCATTATTCGATAGGGGTAACTGTTCATAGCCGAGGGATATGTTACCACAATAAACTTGGTAACATTGTTTGGTTTGACTTCTTGGCGCGTACCTGAATTCCATTAACATGTTACATATCCTAAAACTGGCTCATCAGCAAATTTCGTTGCACTGCGCGCGACAGATACTAGAGCAAGGCATGCCAGAAATACGAAACCTAAAGCTTTCGAAAGGAAGCCTTGGGAATCACGTGCGTCGGGGGACCAGCGCCATCTGATTGGCCATTAACAGGTGTACAAGGCGGAGCAAAAAGCATCGTTTTTCCGTCCATTTTACGCTTGAAAAACTCGACCCTTTTCTGCACACTTTCTAGACGCTCACCAATTAATCAATTTTAATGAATTTTTAGTCGTTTTTCCGTCCAATGACCATATACGGAAGAAAACGAGGTTTTCGTGTTTGCAGTGCGAATCGAAAACCGCTGCAATTGATTGGTCCAAAACGTGGCGCACTGATTGGTCCGTTCCAGTTCCTGGACTGCACCTCGGTTTTCCAAAACGACCCGACCCTTGTGTTTCTTTTCCATGGGAGAGAAAGCACAACTTGGTTCGGGTGCTGTCTTCTGATTGGTAAGTGCTGTCTTCTGATTGGTCGAAAACCCAACCCTCTGATAGGTCAGGTTTCGATCCTGTTTTGGGGAAGGTTTGTAATAAATCAAGGAGATCAGACGTTCATCAGGCACTCATCGCCATTATGACAAGCAAGCAGAATGATGCGTACCGTTTGGAGAGGAAAGACACGCCACTGGAACCGGACAATCCGCCATCTGGGATGCGCGCGCACCACAGAAACCGGAAGGGACCTCATCGTCATGCCAGAGTTATCTACCCCTGGTCCTAAAGTGGGGCCCTCAACTACTTTCATTGAAACGGCATTACCGCAATAAAGCAGACATTGTTGTTCCAAAAGTTGTAGAATGCCAATCAAACAGATATACTTATCCTAGCTTACCTTTGCATAGGTCGGAAGACTGTCCTGCCATGAAACAATCGGCTCAAAGTGCACCTTGTGAGACGAACAAGAAACAATAATTTACCATTGTCATAAGAAATCTTTACCATTGCCATAAGAAATCTTTGAGTCCATTGTTAAGGTCTGACTATATCATGAGCATGTTCATGAATTTGGTCCATGTCAAAAGGGGAATTTCATCTTCCACCATTTTTATCACTGACATGTTAATTTGGAAATGACCTGCACATGCCTGTCATAAAAGGTTTTGAAACCTTCGCTGAGGCCTTAAAAATTGTTGCCTTGATCAACACATGTTTAGCTTTGTCAGCAAGAAGGGGGGCACTATTTGTGTAAATGGGGATGCCAACTTCAAACATAAATGTCTTTTCCCTTAATTTCACATAGATGAGGAAGTCCAGCTTTTCACATATTGTTTTCTCAGTAAAACTTCAGACTACTTCAGAAAGCCACATAGACACGGTATCTGGAGGAGTTATAGCAAATGTGTATCGTACACAATGACATACTGGTGTTTAATACGAACGAAGGAAATCATAAAAGGTCAGGTAAAGTATGAAGATATATTTGCTAGGGAATGGAATGATTGGTTCTAATGTTCCAACACATAATGCAAACATAATTCGCATTAAACATATACAAATGAAAGGATTAATCACATCGATCTTTTGATGTTACAGACATCAAATAGGTGCATGGGGGTGGAGTCAAGGAGGCGGAGGATCTCGAAGAGGAAGAAGAAGGTAAGGCAGAATGTTAGATGTTTCCACTGCTTTGAATGTTGCTTAGCCAGTGGCTCTTCCTTTTTCAACAAAATGAGCTGGATCTGCCTCAAAACGCATTTTCATAAGTAATGATGAACCTGAAACATGTCAGAAATCTTGGAACTTGGGTAGTCCTTTTCAGCTCAGACCTTTTTAGCTCCTGGATCACCCTTCCTCTCTTGAACTCCGTTGCCCACTGTATAACAGTGGAAAAGAAAGGCGCATTATCCCCTGAAGTTGACATCATGACGCATGGATGTTTGTTGGGGTTCATTTGGAGATACTTGATGACAGCGTGAAAGCCAATTTTGTCCATTTTCTTCAACAGAGAATAATTAGCCATGTTGAAGCCTGCAGAAACATGCTGCCTAGTTGTGTATTGTACTTAATACATGCAAACTGTTGAAGGTGTACAAAATATCTTTCGTAGTTTGGCTTAGAACATTATTATTATTGAATTAGCTTTTGCAATCGAAGCTTGCCCCGTATAAGGAATTCAACTTCATTCTAAACTTGTACAGTTATTTCACCCTTTAGTTGGTGATAAAGATGAAGATGCTTGTTGTCCGAAAGGATTATGAACATGTTTTTTGTCACTTTGATTTAGAATTGTTTGAGGGTAAACGAAAGTAATACTTTTGAAAAATGGTGGAAGACTGTCAAAATTTTAATTGTTTAGGGATTAAGTCCTCTTTGAAACTGAAAATATCAACTGATTTTCTGTCAAAAAATGTTTTGATATGCTTATACAAATGGTAAAAAAAATTGGTGTTGATGTGGGCATCTAGGATTAAGCATATACTACAAGTCTATGGTTTCAGAACTGTTTTTTGCAAGAACAGATGGTTTATTTTATCAGATGGTTATCATTTAGATCTCACATAGACTAAAAGGTTCCTGCCAGAAACATTGGTATTCTACATTATCAAACATGTGGATACCTGTTGTTTATAACTATTCCAGTGTTGAACTCAAATTCTGCATAGTCAACCATTTGAAACATAGATGTGTCCTGTCGCAGTTTAGATCTGGTTCTCATAAAATATGTATCTAAAAGGGATGATCCTATTGAGTCGGTGAGGCCTTTCACCATTACAAAGACTGAATTCATAATTTCTGTGAATGCAGAAACATCATCCAAAGGAACCAGATTCAGCAATATCTGTCTTGCACCTGAAATGTACCATGATTGGTTAGTTGGTTTGTTGTTTAACGCCGCGGCGGTCTGTAAATAATCGAGTCTGGACTGGGCAATCCAGTGATTGACGTCATGAGCATTTATCCACGCAATTGAGATATGATGACATGCATCAACCAAGTCAGCGAGCCTAACCACCCGATCCTGTTAGTAACCTTTTACGACAAGCATCGCTGCCTTTTACGGCAAGAATGGGTTGCTGAAGACCTTTTCTAGCTTGGATCTTCATGTGATGGATATGATGCAAAAGTAATGTTGTAATGGGAACGTTTATCAAATATCACTATTAAGATAGATGACAATAGGCCATGACAACACATTTCTGTAATGTACTGATATTAAAATAGTACACACACAACAACCCAATAGGCTCCATCAAACGTTTTGTATCTATATTTACAGACACCAAACAAGAGGCTATTATGACATGGACGAATACCGACGTCAAGGGCAAGGAAGAGTAAGAGGAACAGGACAAAGAAGACAGATTGGGTTCGAACGATTAAGAGATCTCACAGATGAAGACAATGTTGAAAATATAACTTTAGAACTCGCAAGTGATAAAAGTGGTTTTGAGTCAATGTTACATAGTTCTTTTATGCACATGGATGAAGTCTGTCTTGTACTTGATGTGGTAGTCAAAATAACCCGTACGCATCACAAAGAAGGCCTGAAAAAGGTTCTGAAGATGCTATGCACATCTGGTTTTTTGGAAACCCATCTTGTAAGGTTTATCGAACAGCTCCGAACATACTCTGAGATTGAATACAATTGTGACGATGTGTGCGTTATATGTCAGGAAATACTGAAGAAACTCCCAATGTATGCAGAGGAATGCATTGTTGCTTTACAATGTGTTGGGGATGTGTTCTATGATAGCGGTTTGATCCATGATAACCCTGAACTTGAAGCATATAGAGCAGATTTGGAGGAGACATGTATTCAGCACATACAGTATGGTTTTGAAAGAGAGGATGAAGAACCACCGAACAACTACAGGGATCTAGAGATGTTTCCCAGCCCCCAGGAGTTGCTGGCAGATGAGAAGCCATTCCTGAGGGAGAACAAAGACAAGGGAGCCTACTTCAACTTAGACACTTACCTTGATGTTCAGTTCCGGTTATTACGGGAGGATTACATCCAACCATTGAGGAAAGGTATACTTGCGTACCGGCAATGCAAATTGGACCAAGTTCCAAACAAGGTTGCAGATACATGGTTGTATCACAATGTACACATAATCCGCTCGATTTGCTCTGATGACGTTGACACACGGTTGACATTTGATGTTTCTCGTGTTGGAAGAATTCGATGGCAGTCAACTAAAAGGTTGATCTGTGGTTCTCTTGTTTGTCTCTCAAAAGACAACTTTGAGACGATGCTCTTTGCAACTGTAACAAACAGAACTGTTCACGATTTATTGAAAGGGAACATAGATGTTAGGTTTGAGCAAGATTTTGACATTGTACTCAACATATCTCCAACTGACACATTCATTATGGCTGAAACCCCAGCTTACTTTGAAGCCTATAGACATGTCCTTTCAAAACTGCAACAGATCGAAGACTCCCTTCCATTCCAACAGTATCTTGTTGACTGTGAAACAAACATCCAAGAACCGGAATATATAGATCATAGTGTGCGATACAATATGACTGCTCTTGGAGGATACATGTACAGGGCATATCTTTCATCAGTGACATTACTAGACACAAGAAAATGGCCACCACTGAAGGTTTATAATCTCAATGAGGTTCAGCTACAGGCAGTGAAGATAGCTCTTACGAAGGAACTTGCCATTATTCAAGGCCCACCAGGCACAGGCAAGACATATGTGGGCCTGAAGATCATGGAAGTTCTCTTGGAGAACAAAGCTCAGTGGTCATATCCAGGGTCCAGCAATGTGATCCTTGTTGTCTGTTACACAAACCATGCCCTGGATCAGTTCCTTGAAGGAATTCACAAGTTCCATCCATATGGTATCATTCGAGTTGGAGGGCGAAGCAGTAGCAAAATTCTTGAACCTTACAACCTGAAAGAACTACGCAGTGGCAGAAGGAGAAAGAAAAAGATGAGAAGGATTGTTCATGACAATTTTTGGGAATGTAAAAACCAAATGGCTGCTATCAAAAACACAATTGAAGAGGTAGGCTGTAGGATCGAGGCAAGCATGCTTGGTGTTCTTCATGAAGATGTATTGAGGCCACATATGGAACTTAATCACTTTAGAAGCCTTCTAAAGAAGTTCAGAATGGGTAGACAATCAGCCATTTTAACATGGCTTGAGTTCAGAGACCTACCAGCTAGTACTCGAGCTGAAAAAACATTCCAACGACTCATAGATTATTGGACAAAAGCAATTCTGGATTATGTCAGTTATCAAGGACCCATCAAAGAGGATTTTTTCGATAATGGTCAGATTCTGTCAATGCCATTTGTTGAGAGAGCTCATATGTACAAATTATGGCTTGAACAGTTTAGATTTAATGTCAATCGGGAAAAAGAAAAAATAGAGACACAGTGTCAAGATGGAACTATGACCAATAGAGGTGGCCATTTCATTCTTCAAAAGTTGACTTCTCAGCTCAAACAGGCAATGATCTCCATACTTCCAGATGCTCTTTTACAGCAGTTTGTTCCAAGGCCTGTATACAAGCTTATCAAGGACACATACTCTGAACACCATGAGGAATACTCAATCAAAGTATGGCTTGGAGCTACACCACTTGTAGCTGTCGTTGAAGATGAACTCTATGATGCCATTGAAGAACTGGATGAAATCAATTCAGGACTCTCAAAGGCAGATGAAACAGCAGCTATCATTACCAGACAGAGATTTGTTGATGATGAGGTTGATATTGTTTCAAAGCGATCATGTCGGCCATCAGTTCAGATGTCAAAGGCCACAAACAACTTGGCTCTGAGTTTTCAATCGCTACATTACACCAAATTACATGAAGGAAACCAGAGTGCAAATGAACAAGTTCAATCTGCACATAAACGAAAGCAGAAGAAACGACTAGAGAAAATTTTAATGGAAGCACAACCCATCAATGCACAAATATTGCAATGCAGAGATGTGTGGGATCTGAATATGAATGACCGGGAATCACTGTACAAGACATGGGTGACAAGGTATCAGCTGTATTGCAAATTATCCATCAAAGATAAAGAACACGAATACAGACAGTTAGCAAAGAGGCTGAAGGAAGTCTTGAGGGAAGAGGATAAAGATATTCTCTCTCAAGCAGACATCATTGGAATGACAACTACAGGAGCTGCCAAACATGCAGCTCTTCTTGAAGCTGTAGCACCTCGTATTGTCGTAGTAGAGGAGGCTGCTGAAGTCCTGGAGTCCCACATAATCACTGCCCTCAACCCTGAGTGCCAACACCTCATTCTCATAGGAGACCACCAACAACTGAGACCAAACCCTACAGTCTATGAACTGGCGAGGAAATACAATCTTGACATATCACTGTTTGAAAGGTTGGTGAAGAATGGGTTACATCATGTGACTTTAGAATTCCAACACAGAATGAGACCGGAGATATCTGTCCTAATGAAACACATTTACCCAACATTGAAGGACCATACCTCAGTTACAAACTTTAACTCTATACGTGGTGTTGACAAGAATGTGTTTTTCCTTTCCCACCAGCACAGGGAACACCATCTGAATGAGACTATGAGTAAGTCAAATGAGCATGAAGCATCTTTCATCATAGCCTTGTGCAAGTACTTTCTGCTCCAGGGCTATGAAGCATCAGACATAACAATACTTGCTGCTTACACAGGACAAATTTCATTAATCAAGAGACTCATGGGAAAGGAGAATGACCTCTTTCTAGATGTGCGTTTGACTTCTGTTGACAATTTTCAAGGAGAAGAATGCAAGATTATCCTTTTGTCATTTGTCCGCAGCAATGAAGAAGGATCTGTTGGATTCTTGAGTATTGACAATAGGATTTGTGTTGCACTCTCACGAGCAAAGGAAGGAATGTTTGCTTTTGGGGATTTTACTCTATTTGCAGAGAAAAGCCCACTGTGGGCCAGTATTGTACAGACGCTACGATCAACAAACTCCATTGGTCCAGTCCTGCGTCTGAGGTGCAGGAACCACCCAGAGATAACAGTGTCAGTCTCATCTGCTAATGACTTTGACAAGGCTCCCAGAGGCGGATGCACAAAGAGTTGTGGTGTCAGTCTCATGTGTGGTCACACGTGTGATGAAATTTGTCATGTAAATGACATGGAACATAGAGAGCATAAATGTCAGAAACCATGCAAAAGGCTATGTGACAAATGTGGACAAAGATGTTTGAAGAGATGCGTTCAAAAATGTAAATGCACTAACATGGTAAGAAAGACAATACCTAAATGTGGTCATACAAAAGAAATGCAGTGTGACTCAGATCCTTCACTTTGGAAGTGTAGCAAATTGTGCATGATGGTTCTGCCATGCAGGCACAGATGCGCTGGTATTTGTGGAGAATGTAAAAATGTACAGTATACATTGATACAGTCTCGCCACATGAAGTGCCTGAAGCCTTGTTCACGACATCTTTCCTGTGGCCATTCATGCAGAGGGGTTTGTGGAGACTGTACACGAAATGGCTGCATGGAAATGTGTGAAGAAATAGTCGATGTAAAACTAAAATGTGGACACATTTATCCCACGTATTGTCAAGACTCAAAGAAAAACCATGGTTGCTTTCGTGAATGCGAGCAACAACTAACTTGTGGACACAAGTGCATGCAAATATGTAGGCAATGCATGTTTTTGGGTCACGGTAAGAAATGTGCTGTTTCAACAAAAACTACACTTCCGTGTGGACACGTTATTGAAAGTGAATGCCACAAGTCAACTTTACAGATGAAGTGCATGAAGCCTTGTGCACGACATCTTTCCTGTGGCCATTCATGCAGAGGGGTTTGTGGAGACTGTACACGAAATGGCTGCATGGAAACGTGTGAAGAAATAGTCAATGTTAAACTAAAATGTGGACATAATTATCGAGAGTATTGCCATTCTACTACATGGGATTTCAAATGTGTTTGTGACCAAACATAACGTTTCAAAGAGTCCAGATGTAGCGCATTGTTTAAGGACGACCGTCTACCCGGAATGAACATTGGAATGACATCTTATTTGAAACCACCAGGATACCTTTGTTCATTGTAATGAATTGTTGCCATGAACACTTCTGTGAACACACTCTTTTTGAGTGTAGTTGTTGAGTGTAAATTGTCGCTATTTTAGTTTTTTAACATGACACAAAGCCAACACTCACTATTCAAATATGATAAAATGACACAAAACCCAAGCTGTTCCAATACGATTAGACTAGACATAACCTGACCATTAAAGTGAAAGTCCGAGTAAGAATAGGTCTTCAGCAACCCATGCTTGTCTTCCCTCGTGAAGATTCGAGTTAGAATAGGTCTTCAGCAACCCATGCTTGTCGTAAGAGCAGACTAACGATATCGGATGGTCAGGCTCGCTGACTTGGTTGATGTATGTCATTGTATCCAAATTGCGTATATAGTTGCTCTTGATGTCGATCACTGAATTGACTGGTCCGATTCGATTATTTCAGACCACTGTCATATAGCTAGAATATTGCTGAATTATTTATTGCTTGAATATTGTTCGTTAAACAACAAACGAAACCTGACAATCATTATTATGGTGTTATAACATGACACAATTCCTAACAGTAACTATTAATGCGAAAGTAGTAACCTTAAGTAAAAGGCGACTATGCTTGTCGTAAGAGGCGGCTAACGGGATCGGGTGGTCAGCTGGCTCTCTGACTTGGTTGATGCATGTCATCGATCCCAATTGCGTGGATCGATGCTCATGACATTAATCACTGGATTGTCTGGTCCAGACTCGATTATTTCCAGTGAGTGAGTGAGTGAGTTGGGTTTAACGCCGCTTTTAACAGTATTCCAGTTATATCACTGCGTGTCAGCTTAATGTGGGAGGAAAGCCCGAAGTGATGCAGGTATTAGACGTTTACCACTTTGGTGAAACCGACGAGCACGGGTATGGTGCTGAGAAACGATTATTTCCAGATCGCCATCATGTAGACTGAATATTGCAGGGTGCGGCGTTTAACAACAAAGAAACCAACCAAGTAACCTTGAACAGTATTTACGAAACAGGACGTCCTACCGTTGCCTTTCAGATGATTAAAGTTAGTTTGAGGATTATATCACGCGAAAAAAGTATTGTGGCTTTTGATGTCTTAGGGTAGCATAGTTTATCAACTACATTACAAGTTTAACATGAAAGCATGAACGTTTGTATGGTTAAAAACATGACCTGATGAAGGTGCAAGAAATTGTTCCTGAAATATCCCGATAAACAATAACGAAATTGCTATCAATGAAAAGCTCCAACTCTTGCTCGTGACATCAGCCAACAACGTTGTTCTGCATGTTTGAGTTGAGTTCAACGATGTTTAACATTCCTTTTACCATAATTTTACCCTTTACACCTAGTTAAATCTGTTTCAGCAGATAATGGAGGCTGATTGTTCTCTTGTGTTGACGTAATATATTCACGTTTGAAATATAGCTCAAATTCATATTTATTTAGGTGTAGTGCATGGAATGGATAGTAGCAGTTGGTAAATAAGCTGCTGTGCATATTTTGTACATACATCCCCCAAGACAAAACGCTTTCTTCATCTCTATATATGTTATATTGGAATATAACTGTTAGTAACATGTTTCTGTTTCTTTTTCGCTTATTGGTTAATATTTCGTATTAGGGATTTCTAACTATCACAGGTGTTGTGTATTTATTATAAGCATGTTGTTCGATATAAGTAAACCCTGCAGAAGTAGTTGTGATTTGCCAGAAAATAGTGTCAAAGAGAATTCTACATGACAAAATATGTTTGCTTGAAACCATGTTGTAAATATTGTGGGAACAATCAGATCTTACGTTACACAACTGTAAGCCATGTGACCCTTCAAAACAAAGCATCACTTGAGTCTTTTTCTGTTCCTTCGTATCATAATTGAATTGAAGTACCTCGTAGACAAGGATCCTGTAAATATATTGACAGGAGCTTCACAAAAATTGTCATCACAAAAGTAATAATAAATTATGAATACAAATTATAGACAAATTGGTAATGTTTTTTTATTTCACCCATCTTTAATATCTTATTATTGTTATTAACGCTGTGTAATGTATTACAGTTTGATACGTGTATCATATTAAGGTTGTTTGTGTATAACACTGGATGAAAAACAATTCCTGCTTTTGTCAACAGAATTACAAATATATGTAAAACCATGACTGACGATGAAGAACTAGATTCTTCTTAAACTGGTATTATAGGCATGTTCCTTCTTAAAAAGTTACTCATACATTTTGTTTAATCTATGTGTGTATATATTGGTTCCACTTTCCCCTGTTTGTGTGCAGCAAGTTGTTGCTGAAACGTTATCAGTTAGACTCACAGTGCTGTATCCTTTTAATCGTGTTTATCATTAAACAAAATAAAATGACTGCGTTGTTGTTTTCAAAACATATGAAGCTAACCCGAAACTTGAAAAGTTAAAACATAATTCTAAAAAAACAACAACAATACATTTGAATATAACAAAGGACGAGATACGTTTAATAAAGAAAAAAACACTCCATATGTGGAAACAAATCTAAAAAGGCTTATATGTTTTCGCACCTACATGTTACTACTGTTATCTTTCTAAAAAAATATCCGTATATCAAGAAAGGTATTTACTATAAGTACAGTGTACACAGTTTAAGCATTTCAGCGAATGTGCACGTTTTGTCAGTGTCATCTTCACGGGAATTCAAAATCTCCCATACCAGTCCCACATCATCTTCCAATGTCAGAGGACACGTGACGTCAGATCCACGCCAGGACAAATCTGAGACAATGCAAAAGTCCTATGAGTACACGTGATGTGTTTCAACACATCCTTGGACAAAATAGACACAGTATATGGATAACAAATTCTTTGATATACTCTTATAGAAAGGTTTCGGTGTATATCCTTATACTGTTGTCAACAAGACTCTTTTGTCTTCCGCCAACGTCTAAGAAATGCCTGTCAAACAATGTCGCCCCTATAATAACTTTCAGGATGCATAACAGAACACAATGAGGTAAAGTCAATACACAGAGCTGTATCATGTATCTCTGAGGTGAATTTCAAAAGTACAATGGCTTCATGTGTAATATTCCATGAGGTAGAATCATCAACATTATCAATGTGTGTATTTCATTAATGTCTAATGGGAAATGACAAACGTCCGACGTTCATTGTCTAACTGTGCAGTTGTCATATTTATTCAGTAACCAAGGAGATTCACAGGTATATATGGATATCACAGAGTTAGCCACCTTTAAATACAAACAGACTATGGACCTTGCGACGTGGTCATGGGCTGCTTCTGGTTGTATCACAATAACGGCTTGTTCTCCCTGTTGCTGGGTTAATCTTGGCATGATAGATGTCACTGACCAACAGTTTGAGTGTGAATGAACAATACGACGTTCCTTTTATACTCATATCTTTGTTGCTTGGAATGTGCAGCAATTTTTATTGGAATGTGCAGCAATTTTCATTAGAATGTGCAGCAATTTTCATTGGAATGTGCAGCAATTTTCATAAGAATGTGCAGCAATTTTCATTAGAATATGCAGCAATTTTCATTAGAATGTGCAGCAATTTTCATTGGAAAGTGCAGCACTTTTCATTGGAATGTGCAGCAAGTTTCATTAGAATGTGCAGCAATTTTCACTGGAATGTGCAGCAATTTTCATTAGAATGTGCAGCAATTTTCATTAGAATGTGCAGCAATTTCCACTGAAATAGGTACTGCATCATTTGCATTACCCAGCAACTTGTTTTAGTTGTGTTTGGGCGATTGATTCTCAACCATTTTGTACACTAATCAGGATTTGGACACAACATGTAAAAATTTCAGTTTGGTAACGTTTCTTTGGTCGTCAGTTTAGAATCATACCTTTATAAGATATTACTGCAAACAATGCTTCCTTTATCGCCTCTCATATCACAACCCATTAATCTCTACCTAACAGTTAGTATCAATGTGAGAATCAGCCGTTGGTATATGTAAAATGTGTCAGAAAATAGTACACAGTCTCTTTGTGACCACTGATGTTTGAGGGAACAGTTACGTGAAATGGGGTTTAACGTCATTTGTAATTGTATGGCGACGTGCATGCACGTGTGCGTGTATGCGTGTATGTGTGTGTCTGTGTGTGCGTATGTATTTAGAAGGATAGAAGAGTGTCTTCACATCTTGTACTTTTTCTATGGAATAAAATGCCGGAAAACTTGTTGATGTAACTGAGTGTAGTGAAATATACTTTCTGTCATTTAGACGCATACAAACCAATCAAATTGTGTGTTAATACACAATACAAACAGATAAAAAAAAATTAAATTTGAAGTTTACACAATATACCTTTTTTTCCATCGGTCACATGACCGCGGATCTGAAGTTCATAAGTATAGGAACAATACATTTTGACGTTCATAATTTTTCACGAGACTGTATTCTTGAAATGACGTAAACACTGACGGACTACTTCCACATTAATTCCTGGGGAAACACCTGGGAATTCCTCAGTTCGAATAAATACAGAAGCGTTGTTTCTTACCATTTAGACCTTTTAATCTTGAACTTAGCGTTTTAGTCATAGAGTCATAAGTCACAGAGTTTGATATCCACCCTACAACCCATCCTAGAAACAAAACGAAGAAAAGCACATCCAACCTATCGTAGTATCGACTCGATCCGTGTCTAGACTACAGTGTCTACAGCAATCTATGAATTTACCTTAGTATCTATACTGAACCAAATTAAAAACTTCACAATCCTAAAATTTTAACATTTTGACCAGTTATCATTGTGGGCCCTTATTGTGTATTTAAACACTAATGGCCACGTATTGTCTTTAGATAACACCCGTTTTTGTGCAGGTGAATCGATCAAAATCATGTGCACAGCACTATAGTGGCAATAGTGTTTTTTCACGTGCAACTGGTCACGTGGCCATAATACCGCACGTGTTTTCAGCCATACTTGTTAGCAGTCATTAACAAAAAAAGAAAAACACAAGAAAACAAAAGTCTTTACGGCCATTTGTCATGGCACGCCTTTCAAATGTGCAACGTGAACGTGCCATCGGCATGTTGCAGACGGGAACGTCCGTAGCTGAAGTCGCAAGGACGATGGGTTGTAGTCGACGGACTGTTTATGATTTACAGACGCGATTACGGCAAACGGGTACCACCGCTGATCGCCCTCGGCCAGGTCGACCACGTGTGACGTCACATGCAGATGATCGTCAGATTGTCTTACATCACCTCCGTAACCGATTTTTGACGACTACATCAACCAGAAATGAACTGTTTAGGGGTAGACTGAGTGCGCAAACTGTTCGAAACCGTCTGAGAACTGCTCACCTTCAAGCACGACGGCCATACTGCGGGCCGATTCTGACTCAATAACACAGACGTCAACGTCAATTGTAGGCACAGCGACACTTACGATGGACTCAGAGGAATTGGAATCAAGTCGTCATCAGTGATGAATCCCGATTTAATCTTCGATTTGCTGATGGTAGGGCGAGGGTGTGGAGGCGCCGTCATGAACATTACGCCCAGTGTTGTGTACAGGAAGTTGACAGATTTCGAGGCGGAAGTGTCATGGTGTGGGGTGCTTTCTATGGCAATGCACGTTCCAGGCTTCTTGTCATACGTGGCAACCTCAACGCTGCTGCTTACTGCGACCAGGTACTGGCACTAGAACTTCTGCCTTTTATGGCAGCACATGGACCCGGTTTGATCTTCC